GTTGTCAAGCATCAGGCATACAAAATAACTCAAGTAATTCTTTTTTTTTTCTTTTGACAAGAATGTATGAAAGATTTTGGGCTTGATATACATTGGAAATGAGAATGCTGGGTCTTTCCATATTTCAATTTTTCATCCTCTTACTTTACTCAATAAAGTGTGCTTTCTGAAACTCTGAAAAAGTTATTCTCGTGTTTTTAGAAGCTGATAACTTTCTACTCTGTTGCCAGGTGTTGCTGAGTATACCAAGTATAATAATAATCTTATACCTCTTCACTCCTTCTGCAAAGACCAAGCTAGACACTACTGTTCACATTAAGTAATTAAAAATGTTTCTGAAGTCAAGCGTGTGTTTAAAAAAAAAAAAAAAACAACAATGCTGTGCATATATGGCATTATGAGTAACTTCTTAAACTATCAGGGGACAAGTTTTTTCCATTTTCATTTATTTTATCTGAGTTTTGGTTTTTCAGTCTTCTAGAACATTGAACATAAATTCTGTCTTTAACTGACTGGCATTTTAAGTTAACACATTAAAACAAGTGTTTGATTACATGATTAGAAAATATCAGATGGCCTTACTAAAGTATTTCTGAACAATCAAAATCCTAAGTTTCTTTAATTAGGAAAGGAAACTAACACTCAAGTTGAATAATCTTGATATTTAATTTTTAATATTATTTTTGTTTAGTAATACTACACTTAAAAAGTCCTCTTCTGGACAAGGGTTCCAACCAGAGAGGTTTTCTCCTCATCGGAGTGATGTTTGATTCTCTCCTTACATGAAGAAATTCCTCCATATGATCACAGCTATAGTGGTTTGATTTTTCAAGTTCTTCCTTCTCAGGCTATTTTAGATAGATACAAATATCCTGCTTTTACAGCTCAGTATTATTCAGCTACTTGTTTCAGTGTGCCATATTTACTCTCTGCAAGATTTCACTCAGCTTCCTGCTTTGGTGCTTCTTTTCTTCCAGTAGACAAGTCTCTAGATTATGAGATCACAGTATAGTACATATCCCACTTAATGCTTCAGACAGCATTCTGTAGGTAGAACACACAAGGTACAGGAGACAGCCCTTATGCAAATGAGAAAATATATTACTTGTAGACATCTCAGCTATTCTGTGGTCTGAAAATCTTCAGATTCTGATTAAACAACAGAAAACAGGAGGAGATATTAAAAACAAGAAAATGGGGATTCATAAAATGCTTTGAATAAGTAGTAACAAACACAGCTTGCATAAGGACAACTCAGATGAGGGATCTTGACAGTGAGTTGATGGTAGCTTTCCTCCCAGAGAAACAGTGTATGCCTGAGCTTGAGAGAGCTTTGTTACAGGCTTTAAAAATCAGGAATGATTCCAATACTTAGCTCACACAAGAGTAAGAGAATAGCTTTTCAGTCCATATTCTTGGATTTAAGTGTGCCAGTCAATTTTGAAAACAAAAGAACTTTGAGGAAAACCCCCTGACATTAATAAGGGGAGGAAAACGAATATATAGAATTTTATTTTGAATCACTTCTAAAAAGGAGATGCTATTTAGCTGTGGAGAGAAGTCAGTGCAATTTGAAATGTTGTAGTTGAGCCATGCTACTGTGCTCAATTCCTTTTGTAAAATACTTCAGTTGCAATTCAGAGGTAGTACCATGTAGTAATCCATTTTTCTAGTAACACATTATGTAATAGTTCTATAATGGTCAATGACCTAGTGGCATGATAGAGGAAAAATGAAACAAGCATTTAAAAATGAAACAGTGGATGCATTTAAATCAGGATTCAGCTTTTGTTTATGTTCTATTCCTCCCCATTGGCTTTGGTTTAGCAGCCTGAGACTCAAGCTCGAGGCTGTAGTGCGGTTCCTTGTTTGTATCCTGAGGTGTACAGTGACAACTCTGTAGAAAATCAGTAGAGCTGGGAAACACACAGCCTTCTAAGGTAGGGGCTGCTGTGTATGTTGACAGATACATCACATGCTGTTGACAAACACAGCCCACTGAATTTCATAATTTGAGTCTGATAATCTAATTTTTAAAATGAAATATTGCTGTCTCTGCATATAGATTTAAGGCTATAGATGCAAACGTTGTTTTGTCTGAATAGTGTTTATACATTTTATTGTCTTTTTCTCCCTCTGACTTGGTGGAGCACGAGTAGACCTGAATATCTTAGTTATGAATTATTGTTGGGCAATTAATCAGCATCTCCAAGTTCAGACGATTGCCTTCTGGAACTTAGCATAATTCACCTCCATCAGCCAATACATACGGACTTTAATTGCCTTGTAATATTGTCTAGAATAGATCAGCTAATACCGTAAGGGTCTGATTACATCTCTCTGAGCTAAGCAATATATATTTGTGTTCTGCCCTTATTCTCATTGCACACATTTATCTTAGCGGTGTCACGAGCTGGATTGAGGGCACATCATCAGAGTGCAATCAGGAGCCAGTATGTTAAAGTGAGTAGTAAATTTAGATTTGCAATGTGAAAAGAATAACCCCTACAATGCGAGTCACATAAATTACTGTGTGCTGACAGATGGGTCACTGGAAATGCTCCTTTCAGTGCAACTTTTTTAAAACATCAAGAGGAAAGTATAACACTTTGCATGCTTATAAGATGAAAATAAATAAATCTCCACATATTTCACTCAGTGAAATTCACTTACCTTCATTTTGGAGCACTGGCTACGTTTTTAAATTTCAAAGTATATCTGATTATTTATCCACTGTTTGGGAGAAATGATTCAGATCTGTTTAATGTTGATGTTGTTTCTATTTTAGATCCAAGACATTACCATATTATTTACTATTCTTATTTGTGTTTTGAATTTCACTGACACTAAAAAAAATATGATCCTATTTCTTTAATTAATAAAGCCATAATAATTGCATTTTTATTACTTTTAATTTAGATGCATTCCTGTCCCTGTGGGCAACTGGTTTTGAAGATACTATGAGGTGGAACACTTCAAATAAGAGGGCAGGCCAAGTCTTTGTTGAAATGAATAAAATTCTTTCCCTAGACTTCAAAGGAGAAAAAAAGGAGCATAATTAAATACAATTGAAGGAAAGAGAGAAAACTATAAGCCTTGATTTGATGAATGTGCTTTGGAGCAGAGCCTAAAGAGAGATAAGAACGATCTGCAGCAGGTACAAATAGGGAAGGTGGGGTAGCAACATAGCTCAGACTAAATACATAGTACTGCAGTACAAACAGATATCACCTCAGTGTAGTATGATAGGAAAACGTGCTAGGAAGGACCGTAATTGGAGGTTTATGTTGTTTGGTGTCTTGGAGGACCTATCGATGTTCCTATTAGGGGCTTGTGGGAGCTGTTCTGAGTGAAGGGAAGAGGGCAGCCATAACGCAGTGAAGTTCCTCTCGTTTAATGTAAATGCACTAGAGACTCAGCCCTTTGGTCATAATGTCTGCTCTTGTACCTAAGGAGAATCCATATGGAAAGAGACTGTGAAGTGTGGCCCAGCTTAAAGTCTCGTGTCAAAGGCACAGAAAAGCTGTGGCAGCTGGTGGCTGCATGGCCTCCTTCTTCCTGGTGTTTAGAATCAGAGCTTCAGAAGCCATTACTGGCAGCTGAGGTGTCTAACTAGTTCCTTGGTACTCCCTGATTCTTAGCAACAGAGCAGGAGCTGTTGTAAGTGGCAGTGATCTGCAAGCCCATATTTTGCCAGGTCATTTGTTGAGGAGGAAGGGCAATTGAACGGCAACGTGCCTTCAAGGACTGTAACACAGTGCATGCTATGTTGATATTTATTAATTCTCCAAAGGAATAATGAGCTTCTAGAGGAAGTAGCAGGGAGGACTCGTTGAACACCCATCCACAGAAACTGTTTGGTGCATGTATAAATCAAGTATTTGGCATGAGTTCCATAGCTCATTTAGTATTAAATTGTTCTGCAGTGTTTGTTCCTGAGGTAGGCTGAATGTTGCTGCTGGATGTTGTAATCTTGGTATGGATGTGTGAAAATTTATTACTTTTAAAGCAATGCTATCTAAATATTATTTATTTTTTTTAAAACAGTTTTTAACATGGAAAACTAATTTTAAGGTGAGAGAAGAGCTGAGGACTGCTGCTGGTGCTTGCAGAGGAGTTATTTCCCCCAGACAATAGGGAGAACAATCCACATTTGAAAGAGAAGGTTTATCTTGCTGGACAGTTACCAGTTCTATTAGATGACAAGCCTTTAAAAAGTCATTTTTTGAGGGGGTAGTTATTCAGGCATGTATTACTTAAAGTATGCCAGTTACTGTATGTTCATTTTTAGCAATTTGTTAAGAACTGGAGATAAATTTTCATCTAATTTCCCGATGAGACTGTTCATGTGTTCTTCTAAAGTAGCAACAGCTGTCCCAAACTGCCTGCCACACCTCCTCTGGGTTCTGGCTTGCATGAGCAGCAGCTGTGGTGAGTGCCTCCCCCAGGTGTCAGTGATAGCCCACGTGTAGGAGGTAGCTTTGTATTTGGCTCCTTGGTGGGGTCACCAAGATGTGCTTACCCCACACCTGTGTGTTGTAAGAAAAGTTTTCCTTTGTGTTTCAATATATGCTTGCCTTTTCTAATCATGACTAGTTGAAATCATGAAAAGGATGTTTTTGTTATTGCTGTTTGGTACTTAATCTGAGATGGCAACCTGTCAAAATTATACAAATATTTCATATTTCAGGATAACAGCCTGATATATGTACACAGTAACAAATTTCTACAAACTTTTTTTAATTGTGTGATCTTTACTGTTCCAGTGGAGACTCTTTTTCAGATTCTCTATAGACTGTCTTCAGTTGTTGTTCAGACTGTTTGCTGTACCTTTCTCCTCATTTTGTTTCATTTTAGTCACTACAGGGCTGAAATTTGAAAAAATATGAAGTTGCTGCTTAAAAAAAAAAAAACAAAAAAAAACCCAGCTCAGGTTGAAGCAATCAAGGCACAGCCAATAAGGAATCATGCTTAGCTATTATAAAGGGGAAACACCTGCACGTGAATGAAGGGAGTTTGCAGCAGGATGAGTTTTAGGCAGAGCTGTCTCGAAGTATCACCTTCTTGTGCTTTGCAGTAAGTAAACTCTGTTAAAAATGAATGCTAGCTTATGGTATGTTGGGAGATTTTTGAGTCTATGTCTGAGTGAAACTTAATAACTTTTAAATTATTTTTAATGTTTATTATTATTTTTTGTAATAGAGTTATTTTAAGAGTCCTATCATAGGCAGTTTCTTGGGAACAAGGAATTGAAAAGCATATGTATGCACGTATGTGTTTTTGAAAGGAAGAAATGGTTCATTAAAATAGTAATAGAATCAGCTCACATACTTTTATTACTAAAAGGCTCGTAACACAGATACTGTTTTTGTGTGGTATGATTTTAGAGGTTTTAATATTGTGCTATTACACAGGCATGAAGTTTATATTGCTCTTTATTGGGTAGGTCTAGAATGTATTGCCTAAGCTACTCAGCCTAGGTAAGACCTGTTAAGTTTTAATATTCCCATAGTTTTCTACTCTTTTGCGTGAGTTTAGAACTAACAGCAAATATGTAGTAGAGACCTGTGTGGTGTGTGTTTATCCCAAGTTTGTGCAAGTCAATGACAGTGCTTGTACTACTTGTACTAAAACAGACCTGAGGCAGTGTGTAGATGCATCTTGAAGGGTCCTTTTTGTCTGTGTTAGTACTTGATAAGTACTTGACTGAAGAATGCTTTGTGTGTTTTGTTCTAGTGGGAGACTAAATCAATCGGTCAGTGAAGGAAAAGCTCTAGGTCTTATCGTTTACTGATAATAATGGAAATAGCTTTTTTTTTCTTTAGCTTATTTTCAGTTTTAGTTATTTTGTATGCTTAAGATCATTTTCTCCTTAACCTGAAATGATTTTTGTTCTCTAAAATTAATTTGAAAAAAAGGTTCTTTTATGCTTTTAATTTGTATAGAACAAAAAAAACTTGATCTTTTGGGTTTTTTTTTTGAAAAAAAATATATTTGGGGTATAAAAGGACTTTTATTAGAGGTGTCACAAGTTCTCTGAACCACAAGTCTGTCCACCGTTAACACTGCAGTTAGCTGTTTGAGCTGTATCCATATGTAAATCTTCTGGCTTACATTCCTCTTCAAGAACTTGGCAGATATAAAATACAGCTAATATCTACTACTGAACGCTGGTAAATAAAGTAGTTATAGGGGATGTTGAATGTTTGTAGGAATGGTAAATTATGGAGATTTCAATGTGGAAAGGTGTGTACTGGTTTAGAAGGAGTTCAGGTGTGCTCCCTAATGAGATGCAGGTGGGAGCGGTTGGGAGCAGCTCTCAACTTCTTTGTATTTCTTTCTGGCTGATTCTTTTTTTATTTTTTAATGGGTACTTGCACAAGAGAGGTGAAGAGCTGCACCTTGTTAATGCTTGGATCAGGATGTTTGTTAATCCATCTTCAGTTTTATATAGTATTTTTTATGTGATTGAAGTAGTTTAGCTTTTACTACGTGGTAAGCTGGAAATGGGCATTGCATTGGAATTAAAAGTTAATGTACTCTCAAGAAGAATTGAAACTCATATCTGAATGAAAAATACTCTAATCTGGTTTCTGTGAAATAATTATATATGCATAAACTGAGAAAGACATATTAGTATGATGCTAACGGGAACCAGAGTAACCTACTGGGTGAGATCCAGACTCTGGCAAAAACAATATTCCTGTCTTAGACTGCAGCTCAAGTCAGCCACTTAGCGAAGTGTATGAAAATGTAGGATAATGTCCTGGTACTTCCACAAAATCCAGCACACTCTAGCTCAGGGACTTACTGAGGCAAAGCTTAGTAGTGGAAGTTGAGTAAATCTCCTTCGAGTGTTTTTCTTCTGTGAATCAGGCCAACCTCTCCTTGAACTTTTGTAGGCTTTTCACATTCACGTAGCATATTCAGGTAACAGAAACAAGAGCAGATCATGTATCTTTTGGAGAAGAAGGACTGTTGATTAGAAATGACATGATAAACTGAAATTTACTGTAGGACAGTGAAATCTTATTACAGTAACCTTGATCCCCTACACTGATCAATAGCTACTCATTGAGCTACTTGTTCAAGTATCAGGCACTTGTGGCTTTTTAGGACGGAGAATGATTTGTCCCTTTGAAGAGCAGCAAACAACCACAAAGGTAGTTCAAAGTTTTTACACTTTTAAACTGCTTTAGTCATCTAGATTTTTATAATTAAAGTGTTGGTCTTCAATTCATAAAGGATTTTAAACAATCGTGCTTGGAGTTTCTTTGTGCTGACTTTGGGAATAGCGCTGACTGTTCTGGGTAAAAACAAGATGCAATAACTACAGACTGAGCATATTTTTTTCCTGATGTTTCTCTGCAAAGAACTGATCAAAAGTAGTCTGTCTTCACCTTTAACCTTCTTAAAGATAAGTTGTTTTCTTCTTTTTCTAACCGAGTCTGCAGTAAGATACAGAACTTTAAAAAAAACTAAATAGATGTAGCAATTTATCATCTGCAATACTTCTCTATTTAATGGGACACTATCAAGATGTCAGTACCACATCAGAGTGTGTAATGACAGTAATTACAGCACTTTTGACGAGAGGGAAGGCCACCCAATATGCAGTGCAGTGGAGCTTTCACTCTGCTTGATGGTGATTTTGTTTCATTTGCCTAGCAGTAAAATAAACCCCGACTTTTTTCAGATACTGGCTATGAACCTTTGATTTGCATAAGCAGGAGATGTGGCTTTCAGTGTCTTCAGTTTTTTTAACCCCATCTGTGCTTTGTATCTTTCCTCATAGATTTCAAAGGGTCTTGAAAGCTATTCATTCACTCTACATTTGAAGCTAGATTGGATTCTTTGGTGGTTTTGGTTGGTTGGTTTTTTTTTAAGCAGCTTAAAGCCTATCCCATACTTGTATAAACAGCTGAAGACCATAAAGGTTACAGCAGACCATGCTAATCTTAGTTTATGGAGGCTGAGGGTGCCTTGGCTGCTACTGAAGATAGTGTGTGTTACATAAGAGCACTGAGAGCTTGTCATGCCTCGAACCTCACAGGAAATCAGGAAACTTTCCCACTATTCCTCATTTTTTAAGACTGGATGACTGAATTGATACCTTATTCTACAATTCATGCTTAATGCATGGCTGTTGGAATTGATTGTGTTTTATCACATTGGTTTTCTTGCAGTAATGTTTCAATTGTTCTGCTAGCCGTTGTGTTCTTAGAGCTGGCCACCAGTACTGAGAGGATTTATTAGATCCCTCAAGGAGCAAACAGGCTTGGTGGAAGAAGAGAAAAAAAAAGTCCTTGTCTGAGAAGCTTTAGAATTCCATGTGCTCAGAGGGATGAGTTGTTTTTTTTCTTCTTTTCTCCATCTGGACTATTTGCGTTTTGTATCTTATCAATAACTTTTTATAAAAATTAACTTTTTATAAAAAGTACTTTTTATAACAAAAAAGTACTTGGTTGTCATAATCTCACAGAATGTTAAATAAGGTGAAATAAACTATGCTACAAGAGTTGGACTCGTGCTGTTTAATTGGTAACATTTAATTGATCTGTTATTGCTATCTCTAAAGCATAGTGCTTGTCAGGTTTGGTCTACCTGCTTTTTTGGCTTAGCTGGAAGAGTTTCATGTGGCAGTCTTCTAAATTAAACAATTCAAAAATGGTTTTTACTGCCAGATATATTCCTCATTGCGTGATGAGGATGAAACTTGATTATTACCTTTTTTTATTGCTTGGAATTGTGCCCTTCAATCTAATATAGAAATGTAATGAATTTTGAATTTATGTTGTGCTATGTGTTGTAACTACTATCTGGGTGTGGAAGTAAGTTATTTATTCTCCAAGTCTAATCTCTATTAGACTGTTTTATAATAGACTATAGGTATACAATGCTGACAGACAACACAAGAAGTTGCCAACTTAACAATTCCTAATTTCTGCTAGGAATGCTTGTTTAGCTGTGAAGATGATGCCTAGGGAAATAAAACAGCTTTGTGGCTTGAAAGTGTCTTCTGATTCAGGGTTGGCTGCCAAGGAAAGAATGTTCCAGAAAAACTCTTGGCACTGATGCTTATATCAGAGCTCTGAAGAAATACTAGGTATTTTATTTAGGATGGAGGGAGGGAACTGGGAACTGACCACTGCAGAGACTTTATGTAGGACTGCAGTTCCTGGATAAGCAAAGCATGAAGGATTATATTCTTTGTTCATTTGGTTGAAAATGTCTCGTCCATGTAAATCCTAATTTTTATGCTGAGAACATTTCAGACTCATTTAAATGAATGATATTCCATGTAGACCAGTCTCTTGGAGGATGGAAACAAGCTACTTCAGTTGCTGGTTTTTTTTTTTTTGTGGTGTTTTTGGGTGTGTTTTGAATGTATTCTATGCTCTGATGAAGCCAGTGGCTTGGAGGTTTGTGTGGCTCAGCAGTTGTGCCTAATTACCTTTATCTTTTAAGATGATGTACTCCAGCTGTATCTGAAAGTGTATTCTAAACTATGGTATAAGCTTGTAGGAAACCTATTGACTCACTAACTAACTCAGAGTAATCTTTTTTTTAGTTCAAAAAGTGAATTAGTACTCTAAGTTTTATGTGGCATAGTGGCTTGAAGTTTTCTGCTGACAGGCTGAAATATGGCATTGATGTAGCAGTGTGCTTCCTTGAAGGAAAGAAAGCATTGGTGCACCAGCTTTTTCTCCTACTTCCTTCCTTATACCTCACTGAAGTCGAAGACGCATGAGTTGTTTCACCTTCTGGTAGCTCACTACTACTTACTTCTCTCACCTAGTGGAGAGATGCCTATTGACTTCTAAGTGGGGTCACTTCTTCCACTGTACAAAAGAATCAAGAGGTGTCAGGTAATCTTAAGGCAGTCTGTGATCTGTGTTGTGGTTGTGAATATTAGGTCTCTTTAGAAGGCATGCCTGTTTCATGGGCTGTAAGAAAGGGAATTCACCTTAATACTCAGTGCTTGTAGGCTGAAGTTATTTGTTCAGGTGGCCAGAAGTCAAGTCCCATTGCCTTAGAAATAACTAAGAAACCAGGGCAATCATTTCAAAATCAGG